TTTCTCGCTACACTCTCCTCACTGAGACCCCCCTCTCTCTCTCTCTCTCTCTCTCTCTCTCTCTCTCTCTCTCTCTCTCTCTCTCTCTCCAGTCTGTTTTTCTCACCGACCACCTCACAGATTTTCTCCTCTCGTCTCCTCCAGCGCTCCCTCCGTTCGTTCCGTCTCTGTGTTCTGAGGATGACACCTCCAATTTCGAGGAGCCCGAGAGGCCCCCCTGCCCCGCGGCCGCTGCCCAGCGAGATCATCCTCGCTCAGGCTTCCACGGACGAGACCTGCCCTTTGTAGGGTGGTGCTTCAGTCGGGCCCTGAGTGCACTGGCCAAGTCTGAGTGAGTACGCACACACGCACGCACGCTGATTTGACTAGTCTAGTCACAGGTGGTCCATTGGAGCGGAGATGGCCACATCACCACGGCGACTGTCACCAGGCAACATTGTGGCTGAATGCGAGGTATTGCTCGTGTGGGGAAAGCTGTGGTTCTCTCACTTCACATGTCTTTAAGATGAGTGAGAGGGAGCCGCGTGTGTGCACCGCTGTTTTTATATCAGGAGACTCAGAATATCTCATGCATGTGTTGCCATGTGCATGCAGGGGAACGGGAAATCCTCGTCTGGCGTGTGTGTGTGATATGATCTGTAGCACAATGAAAGCCAGTACGTAAACACTGTGTAACGTGATCGGCTCTGTGTTTGCTGCGATGTTGTCAACCTTCAGTCTGTTTGTTTTGGTTTGCATTTGCGTCTGATCGTTTGGTTTGGTGTTTTGATCGGTGAATCTCGCAATAATCTGTTAAGAACATGTCTGGGTTGTGTTTCATCTCTGAATCAGAAGAAAAGCATGAAAACCATATGCTCATTACCATAATGCAAAAAAAATCTCATTACAGTAATATTTTTTGTTTAATTTTAAGCGAATTTCCCCAATTCTCATTATTATAATGCAAACGTAATTCTCATTACTGTAATATATTTTTTCAATTTTATATTTAATTTCTCCCAGTTCTTTATTACCATAATGTAATTTTTTTTACAATTTCATTTAATTTTTCATCTCCCAGTTATCATTATAATAACAATTCTTGTTACTATAATATTTTTTTATTTAATTTTCCTTGAATTCTCTTTGCCATAATGCAAAACATCTCATCACCGTAAAAAACAATATTAATTAAAATTTTCCCCAATTCTCATTATCATAATGCAAACATTTCTCATTACTATAATGCTCAATAATAATATATATTATTGAGCATTATATATAATATATTGATATATAATTTTATTTGAGCCCAGTTCTCCTCACTATAATGCAATAAAAAAAATCGAATTGCTGTAATGTGGAAAACCATTGTAAAGTATTTAAACATCATTGGTTGTGGTTGTGCTTTAATTTGTTGATTTTAATCACAATAACTGTATTGCAGTAATGAGAATGACTCGAAAGTAAAACATCTGGATGCATTACAGTAATTTGTGTGTGTGTGTGTGATGTGCTGCCCAGTGTTTCCCTGTGTCTCTAAATGCATTCAAGCGTGTTGTATGATCATGATGTGTCGAATCAGGTGAAGGTCTCGGTCAGGAATCTAATCCTAGATGAGCCATAAATATCACGTTCCCCCCCCAGGAACTGAAGGGAAAGGAAAAAAGAGAGGGTGAGGTGAAGCTTTATAAATGTTAGTCGGAACGAGAATGAACCCAGAATGCATTTCTATGGTAACCAGAGTGAGTTTTCTTCCCACGCTCCCCCTCCGTCTCTCTCCATCCATTCATACGCTGCTTCTCTCTTTAATCCTGAAATGCGTATTTGTCCAGGCGTGTGTCATGTTGTTGCATTCTTCTTCATATAGCATTTCCAGCACCATGAAATCCGCCGAATGCAACACAAGCGGCTCCAGCAGAGGAGCGTGGGAATGTTAATGCAGAAGCGCAGCTGCTGATTGGTGAATGGGCTCCTCTGGAGATGCGCTGCGATATGAGAGCGCTGGATCCGTCTTGAGGCAAACAGAACATCTGCAATGAGCGAAAACCAGTCGTAAACCGCCCTCACTGACGCACGCTTCAGAAATGCATGCATTGTGGCATGCATCATGTACCGCACATCTCTTTCATAAACGCACAGACATGCATTCTTTTTGTACTGCACTTGCATTATCAGGCAGTGCAATCAATAAACATCTCAGGTACCTTAGGATTGTTGATTTACAGTCCAGTCATGTCTGATCGGGTTGCAGTGGCGCTATTGTGACGTGTGGACTCCCCTCACATGCAACCTTTGTGTGTTTGCTCATCTGTCGTGCCAAAGATGTTGTGTGTCTCTTTCCTTATTAACAGATTCACCAGGACAAGATCTGTCACAGTAATTGGGTGAAATGTGCATTGGAAATCTGGAAATATAAGGGAGTTTTAAAAATGAAGCATGTTATTTCGGTCAAAAGCAAGCAGCATGGACTCATTTTGCTTTTCACACAGGACGTGTTTGCAGTCCGCTCCTGATCCGCGGCTGTTTACCACAAACACAACATTTATCTATTATTTTGATTTCAAATCCAAACGTTGTTTCTGAAAATGCTTTTTCAGCATTGTGATTCTCTTTTATCACAGTACAGTAATACAAACTTTCATAGGCATATTCACGTTTAAACTCAATAAATATAACTGTTTAACTACCACCACGAGTGCCATCTATTATTGCCTTGTTTATCTAAAAGTGCACTTTTCCTTGTTTTAAATCTAGCCAAAAAGCCATGTGTTGACTGTGAAACAGTAGACTTTAATTATATGCATTTATGGTGTAATTACTAATTTCCGTGTCAATCCATGTTAATTTTTACCACGAATAATGCGCTGCCACTTTAATTCAGCGCGTGCAGAAATAGACTCCGTGCGGAAACGATCGCAGCATGACTGCTGCAGACGCACTGCTCCTGGAGCGCACAGCCGGACCGCAATCGCATGCAGTGTGAATGCTCTGATCCATTAACATGGGCGTGGAAAAATACGCACTACAGACGGAGTATGTGAACCTGGCCTTACGTTTGTATGCCTGCCTGGTCTGTTCTGTTCTTGTGCTCCATTTAGGCGTGCTGCATTCTGATTGGTTCGGATAGCATACTGCGGGAGGTCGGGGCGCGGTAAAATCGTGCTATAACGCGATTTAGAAATCGCGCAAGCTCAAATCGTGATTTTATGACGATTTCGATTAATCGCACAGCCCTAATTTACACACTAGTAAATGTTGTTCAGATACTGAATATGATGTGCACAGTGCTAGCAATGCTAAGGTCATGGGTTCAATTCCCAGGGAAATACATGAACCGATCAAATGTAAACTTGAATCTAATGTCAGTCACTCTAGATAAAAGCGTCTGCTTAATGCATAAATGCAACTATATTAATCCCATTGATTTGAAACTGAAATACAAATGTAAGCCACCTCTATATCTGTCAGCGTTGACAGTAAAATCAGCCAACATTTGTCACTGACAACTAATTGACTCCCAAAACAAAGCAAAAGACAACCGCAATCGCTGCGCACTCTTTAGTCGCATTTAACATTTTACCCCATTGTGTAGTAAAAGTGCATTAATGATATGATGAATGTCATGCTGAAGTATCTCTGGAGAGACGGCTTGTTTTTGGTTGAGTCAGTGCTCTAATTGCTTGGATAATTCAAAGACTAACTGGTTTGTCAGTAAATGAATAGTTTGTCCAATAATGAGATATTGTCCTCATTCTCTTTCCCTCATGTTGACATTTGTCTGTTCACGCAGTGTTTTTCCATACAGTGACCAGGGGCTGTTCGGCTCCTAAAGCATCTTTATGGTTTGTAAATGATGATAGAATTATTATTGTTGGCCGACGTTATAGTGTTTCGGTTCCAGTAGGAGTTTTCACGGCTTCACCTCGACAAACCCTCTGATTATCTGAAGTATTTTGATACTGTGCTTTATGATTCTGACCGTATCTGATCTGGAAACAGTGATAGGATGGTTTTCTTCTATTCTTCTCTTAATATGTGGATGGCTGCTGACATGTTAGACACATTTTATCACATGGGTTTAAAATACGTGACTCACTCCAGCCACCCCAATCACTTTAAGTAGATTTGTTTTTTTGCATGCTGATTTAAAAACATACTAGTGTTTGCAACTGGTTTGAGGTCTTATTGCGGTTATCATGAATATGATCGTGTCCTGGCGATTAACATCGAGCTTAGCAAATATGAATTTTCAGCCGTCTGATCAAGTATTTAGCAGGTAAGTGTTGTTCCTTTTTGCACGAGGTGACCGTGAATATTCATGACATATATTTAAATTGTCAAATATTTTTCCATTGCAGTTATAATATACATTCTTAAACTTTACCAAAAAAATGCCCCCCCAAAATAAACAATAAATAAATAAATATACTAACTACATTACAATACATTATGCATTTAGGCTTCCAAATAAAAGTATTATTAGTAGCAAATAATTTAATTATTTATTAAGTATTGTGCTTTACACATTAAGCATAAAAATGCTAAATTAAGTATTGTGCTGATTCTAGTGCACATATTAAGTAAAGATCATGTTCCATGAAGATATTTTGTAAATTTACTACCGTAAATATATCAACACTTAATGTTTGATTAGTAATATGCATCGCTAAGAACTTAATTTGAACAACTTTAAAGGTGATTTTCTCAATATTTAGATTTTTTTGCACCCTCAGATTCCAGATTTTCAAATACTGTCCTATCCTAACAAACCATACATCAATGGAAAGATCATTTATGGATGATGTATAAATCTCAATTTTGAAAAATTGACACTTAAGACTGGTTTTGTGGTCCAGGGTCACATTTGTCCTGTAAGTTTCCTGAAGATTGTGTGAATTTGCTTGTCTTATGTGAGTGTTCAGATGTTTTAATAGTGTCTCTCATTTAAATGTAAGCAGCAAAAAACATGTTTAGTGTTCAAGATTAGAATCAATTCAAACTCTTATTTTCTGTAATTTTTTTAGTGTATTGGGTGCTTGTATGTGGCAATCCTTAAATATCATTCCTTGTTCATTTAGTGAAAAAAAGTGTTATTTTCAGAGCAAATATCCAAAGACCAGTGCAGTTCATCTGCTGATTCTGTGTGTGTGAAAGTCCTCGTTCTTCATGAACACTATGAAGTCTGTATCGGTGGACGGTCACTTAGATGCTCCCTGCCACATTTGTTTGCCTGACCTTTCTCGATGTGATCGATGCAGCGCAGCGTGTGAGCGCCGCGGGTTGACAGCGTCACCGCAGGACGAACAGTTACCGAACATAGGCTGTGAGTCAGCCTCGTCTTTGTCCGTCAGCTGCACTAAGAATAGCCAATGTAGGAATGCATCAGCGCTTCAGCAGATCAATAGCTGCTGTATTCACAGAATGCGTAAGCGTGTTTACATCCGCCGCAGATGCCCAGAGTTAGTCAATGCGACTGCCGCCCACCTCAGGCGAAAAGAGCAAGATGCTCTGACGCGCTTGTGCAAGTTTGCCTTGAATTATCAATAGCTTGATATCAATGCTGTAATAATTTAATTCCACCTGAAGCCTAATGTGAAATGTAATTCTCAAAGGTCAAAGATATTTTCCCATTGCAGTTTATATTTCCCTTTGAGATAGGATAAATTCTCAAAGGGCTCAGTTTGAAATGCGTAGCTTATAATTACACTTTAAGCCCAAACACACACGTATGCGCCCCATAATCGAGTCGGTTGTGGGCCGTTCTGATCAGACCCCTGGGACGCGTCGGTTTCTCCGAAGGGAAGTCTGTAAGCACTGGGTAATGGACTGCTTTACAGCAAACAGGCAGAACCTCTAATCTGGTTAGACCCCACTGGTATGATGCCGTGGAAAGCATGTTTAGAGCTGGGCATGTTTGTGTGCGTTTAGATGCTCTCGAGGGGGTCTGAAAGAGTAGATTTTCCATTTCACAGCTCTTTCAGTTGTGTTTTGATAGGAGGACACGTGCCATCATGCTCCCATAATCACAATTAGGTTTCAACGATGTGGAAAACACAGACGTAGTTATTACACTGATACAATAATTTACTGTATAAAGCAGAATGTTGGATGAATAATTCAAATATTTAAACTGTGATATGGTCTAGTGCCTGTGGTTATTAAAGCGCAAAAAGTCTACGTAAATAGGAATTCTGCATGTAGAGCATACTTGAAATAATAATACAGTTTATTAAACATTAATTTTTAAGGAATATAACAGTTTTTCATCTGTTTTAATAAAAACTGATTTCACAGCATCCAAATCGTAATGTGTTAGCAGTTTTGCTAACCAGTGTTAATTTGCTGTCATTGAGATTACTATTATACTGTACTATAACTACTATATAGAAGCTATTTATTATCATTTTTATTAATATTTTGAATATATTTTGAAGTGTTTTTATTTTTCATTTTCATTTAAAGTTTTAGTAATTTTGTATAACATTTTTATAATTTTTTATTTTAGTTGTAGTTATTTATTTTAGTGCATCAAGGTCAATGGAATCAAACCAGAAGCAACTATGCAATTTTGAAATATTGAAAAGTATAAAGTTGAACTTTCATTAGAAATAAGTGTAGCTATAGTAAACAAGTAGTTTGTGAGTGTAGGCAGACTGATCGGATTACATCAGCCGCAATGCTTCATGGGAGTGGGCGGTCACCGCTGAGTCTTCTTTCTGTTTCCATGGTAACAGCGAATTCTCCGATTATTGTTTAGTGTATTCACCAGCAATTTGGCTTTCAAACATGATTGATGGTCATAAAATGAAGCTGACGTGTGCCTCTACAGAAGCTGAGCATCCTCAGAGCGCGTGATGAATCTAGAGTCTTTAAAGGTTTATACATTATAGTGCTCTGTGGAGGAAATGAATGTGATTTCTATTTATTAATTTTTTTCTTCTGGAGCCCTGGTTTTGTGTTCTGTACAGACGTGAGGCAAAGAATAATGTCTAAAATGTCAGTAGTTGGTACCAAGATTAGTGAAACTAGACTGGAGTGCATTTACATGTGTTTTTTTTATCAATTCTGCCTGTATTTCTCGCATGAGGACACTAAATAACTGCACTCCACTGACTTTAATATTGCAAATACAGGGTTTCAGCAGAGCATTGAAAAACATTAAAAGTCATGAAATGTGAAAATTAAGGCCTTAAATAGCATTCTCACACACATTAATTTTTTAGATAGTTTTGAAGAAAAGATAATATTATACGTTTATTTTGAATTATAGCCTTCATAATTAATAGCTTTGATTTGCTGTCGCAAAATATGTACACTGATGTGATAAACACGTGGATTTGGTAATTGTCTCTAATCTAAGAGAATTATTGAATTCTGATTGATTGTTTTTGTTTACTGCTGTAAAGTTGCTGTTTTAAGAACATTTTTAAAGTAATAAATGTGTGATGTTTCCAAAAATAATAATAACATATAATTGTGACGGTATGTTTGTGACAATATTGACAAATTATTACACTATACTGTACTATACTACGATGTGCTATTCTGTACTCTTCAGTGCTCTTCTGTAGTTTATTTGTTCATCAGAGGTAGTTGAAGCTGATAGCATCTGTGAATGTCTTTCTTTATTTTCTGGGATGCAGGAAGAGCTGAAGTTCTTCGATGGGAATTTATCCAGAGGAAGCTCGAGGAATGGACTTTGAAACATTGTGAGGGACACACCATATTAGAAAAGCGTGGACAAAATGCTCTTCTCTCTATTTCAGACGTCTCCTTTAGCAGGAAACACTGAGCAGACTAAACACTTCGTGCGTATGAATACTGTTGACTGTGTTTCTAATGGGATTTAAGCTCAAGCTAAAGGTCTTCAGGACCGACGACAGTCAGAGCAAATATTCATGAGCTGTTGCGATTGGTTCATCTTTTCTCCACTGCTGTATTTTTGTCAGTTTTATTCTCTCTCCATCTGTTAGTAATGTCTGTTGTGATTGTGCAGCGGCTGGGATTTCACTCTTTATTTCTGGAACATGTTTTTCCGTCAGACAACATTTCATCAGTTCTGAATCACTGGCATATGATGCATGTGGGAGCTCAAGTTGTTTTCTGTCTTTGTTAGTTTGTTCTGAGGTTCACGTGTCGTAGGCGGTCACTTCTCTATATTTAGCTGTTTCTTTGTGTTTTGGTTTCCTCTGAGAACTTTTCAACTGAAATCCATTGGTACTTTGGCTTCCTGAAGAGCATTTGTGCTGCTTTCCAAATATTGCTTATCAGTTTCTGATTGAGTGAGTGTGGGAGGAGTCTATCAATTTGACTGACCAATGGCAGACATAGGGCGGAGTCAAAGGGTTGGGAGGAGTGTTTGGGAAACCTGTGTGGAAGCAGTCATAATTTTACATTCATTTTTTCTTCAGTTTTCTGAATTTCAGTCTCAGGTTTGCATATGCAAAATGCATTCTGGGAAATGTGTTCTTCCGCCCTAATCCACAAAAGTACATTTAATAAATATGATGAAATGTATAAACTAAATACAAATATCTAAAGGTGGCATTTCAAACGTATTTTGTAAAGTTTAGTTATATTAATTTCTTTGTAACACTTTTGTAAGGTCTCATTTGTTAACATCAGTTAATGCATTGGTTAACGTGAACTAACTATGAACTATATGATTGTACAGTATTTATTAGCCTTTGTCAGTAAAACAAATACAATTGTTCATTGTTCACGTAAGAGCACAGTCCATTAATGTTAACAGATACAGCTTTTGATTTTAAAAATGTATTAGTAAATGTTATAAAATTAACATTAAGTCTAATAAATGCTGCAGAAATATTGTTCATTGTCAGTTAATGTTAACTAATGGAACCTTATTGTAAAGTTACCAATTTCTTTGAATTTGATTGTGAAGTAGATTTACAATGAATTGAAATTTAAATTACAGTTCTGCATCCTTTTTGAAACCTCAATTCTAATTAAAATCTGAATCGTGCACAACTGTATGTCATTTGTGCACTGAATTGTGGTTGATCTGATGCAGCACAATGTGTTTAATCATGAAACTAGGTATCAGTTCATTTGCTTGTGGTTTGATGACACTTGCGGTTAGTGTTCCTGATGAGAATGTTCCCTAACGTCTACTTCATGTCATGTTAATTAATAGACGTCACATAAAGATGATGCTCTTTGGTTTTGAATGAATTCACATTCACATGAAACTAATGGAGTGTGTAATGAATGTGAAAGGATGAGCAGACATGCATGAGTGTGATATTCCCTACATTCCCAGGAAAAACAAAACCTCTCACACTTTCTGGCTTTATCTTGGAGATTTATAACTAGATGAGTGTTAATGTACATGCATGTGTATTATGATTCTGATTAGGCGTGTTTTTCCTTGTGTGATCAGATCGGTTGGCACAGGGCTCAACTCTCCTGCCAAAACCAACTCCATGGAAAAAAAACTGCACCTCAAAAGCAAAGAACTGCAAGACACTCAAGACAAATGTCACAAGGTAAGAGCACAGAGATTTCTGGGTAGAGTCTGAATGAATACAGATAATAAACTGGGATAAGTTAAACTGCATTAACACACCAACTTGTACATTTCCTTGCAATTTCTCCCAAAACTTAGAACTGTGTTTGCATCTCACAATTCAGACTTTTCTTTTCAGAATTGCGAGTTTATATCTTGCAATATATTGCAGTTTTGCATTTATATTAGCAATTCTGTGAAGAAAATTCAGAATTGTGAGTTGCAAAAAATCGCTAGGAAAAAAGTCTTTTGTACGGAAGTTCTAAGCGGCCATGCGTTATTTTTTTTCCCCCCTTGTTTTCTCGCTATAACGACATAACGAGAGTTGTTTTCTCGTTATAACGACATAACGAGAGTTGTTTTCTCGTTATAACGACTTATTTTCTCGT